AGCTATATCTAAATCAGAACCGATTTTTACGCATCTTAGCAAAACTCATTGTAGACTCAATTCAGTACGCTATGCCAAATTTCGCGCAAATCGAAATATATATAGGGACTTTGGTGCACCATTTACATAAAATCGGACAAAACTATATATGGTAGTTATATCTCAATCTGAACCGATTTTCACGAAACTTAGCACACATTATTCTAGACTTAATAGAGTAAGGTATGCCAAATTTCGTGCAAATCGAAAGATATATAGGGACTTTGGTGCACCATTTACATAAAATCGGGCGAAACTATATATGGGAGATACATCTAAATCTGAACCGATTTTCCCGAAATTTAGCACACATCATTATAGACTTAATTCAGTACGCTATGCCAAAATTCGTGCAAATCTAATGATTTTCAGGGACTTTGGTGCACCATTTACCAAAAATCGGGCGAAACTATATGTGGGAGCTATATTTAAATATAGCACACATCATTATCGACTTAATTTAGTACGCTATTCCAAAATTCTTGAAAATCTAATTATTTTCAGGGACATTAGTGCACCATTTACCTAATATCGGACGAAAATATATATGGGAGCTATATCTAAATCTGAACCAAATTTCATCCAATTCGGATCATGAATGCGACCTGTACTTTGCTCATAAAAATACATGGACGGACGGACAGACGGACATGCATAAATCGACTCAGAATGTGATTCTATGCATATTCTCAAAAGGAACCATGGGTCTATCTCGATTCCTTTTGCCTGTTACAACCAAACGCACAAAGACATAATACCCTGTACAACAGTGTGGTGAAGGGTATAAAAATAATGTATGTATGTCTGTCTGGTGAAATCGTGATAGATAGATCAATATTTTAACTTGAACAATAGTTGAAGTTTTGCACTGACATTGCTATTTCTCCTACCGGTATATCGGTCTACATTTTGATATAGCACCCTAATAACGGTACAGCTCAATTTTCGGTATTTCGAAGGTTTTAGGCACATTTTCCTATTGAATAGTCATTAATGTGTTGAGACGGATTTTTTGAGGCTAACACACATCTGTGCAGAAATGTATCAATACATGTCCATGATTTAACATAGCCTCCATAATTTTAGCCACATTTTCCAAACGAAAATGCTCTAATTTGTTTTTCGGGATTTTGGTGACTGACATATGCGCAGAACATAATCTCTATATGTCAATTTTTTGACATGACCTACAGGGCAGAAAATAACCCCCATTTTTTACATAGGTCCCAATTTTTGGCGGTTTTTGGCGACTTTCACACCAAAGGATCTATAATTCGGTACTCCAGGTTTTTGACGTCAAAAAAAAAAAAAACAGCCCAATTTTATCCCCAAAATATCATTTGATCATCATAAAAATTATTTGGGCCGTTCTTAACAATTGCCAGAACCTCATGCTAAATTTCCAAGCCATTAGCGCCACATTTCCGCATTCTATTGTGGTAATGGTAATAGTAAACAATATCAAAATACGTAGACACCTGTAAATATATAAATAAAACTCCAACATCCGTGTACATACATGAGGATAATTGATATCAATTTAAATGTAAACAACTCCTCTTCAATATACTATCAACTTCTGGGGTGTATTTCCTTCACGCCATAGAATACAAATTTTGTCAATTTTCACAATAAAAAAATCTGTGTCCCTTCTAACCGCTAAAAATTGGCAGATCTTCATCCAAACAGTCATTCTTCTTCCATGGTCATACCACTTACTCTATTTAAAATTTCGTGATGTCCGAATCACAATTGTGACCTCTTTAGCGTCAAAGAACAGACAAAAATCAAGTTGTTGGTCAATTTCATTCCCCAAATATTAAACGATCATTACTAAAAGCAATAGGGGTCTTACTTCACCAGAACCGATCCTACATGCAAAGCAATAATACCCAGACAAGGTGATATAGGAGGTAATAATTATGAATATAGGTACATGTTTTGACATACCTCCCTTATAAAATTCAAGCCGTTTTTTTTGTTATTTTGGAGATTTAACACCATATTCTTCTGTAAAATTGCATTTCTATTAAGACACTTATTTTTTTAAACACACTATCTAGTTGTTCTGTTTTTCAAAGATGTGCTCTTTTTATACCCATAACTGTAAACGGCAAATACTCTTCTTTTAATGTTTAATAGTTATTAGGTAAAAAATTACTTTTACTTTATATTGTTAGATCGTTTAATAGACATCAAGCTATCACATTTTTTTCTTATGAACGTGTTCGTCATGTAGCAAATTAATTTTGTTACGTGTTCATTATGATATTTACATACATACAAGGAAAACACATCTCATTGCTTCATACACAGCATTGCAAATTCGCAGTCAAATTGAAGGCGATATATTTGACATCTCATCGCTTTTGTAATTTTTAAAAATATTAAATTGTGTTAATAAATTTTAACATAACTGTTTCTGCTTGTGTCAATATATTTCATTATTTGTTCATAGAATGAAATGAAATGGTTAGTATGTCTGTATTTTTTTGTTATCAGACTTTCCGTAGTAACCAAGGTGTGATTAAAACTTAAAACCTTCTTTGTAAAACTATGTTTTAAATATTTGTCCTTGAACCATCTTTTAATATATCGATCGTCACTAGCTGAGTCGATTTAGACATGTGTGTCCGTCCATCTGTCCTTTATAAATTGTGAACACAGTTATGGACCAATCGACACGAAATCTTGCATTTATGACAGGTTTTGGTCAAAGAAGACCCCTATTGTTTTTGGAAATGATCGGTTAATATTTAAGGGATGAAATTGCATTATTTATGTATATTTTTTGGGTCGCTCAAGAGGCGACAATTATGACAAAATAACATAACAAAATTTTAAACAGAGAAAGAATCTGATAATAGAATAACCATGACTGTTTTGGTGAAGCCCAGACTTGGGTGGACCCAGACTTGGTGTGAAAATGTCAGTTTGTTCACATTATCGAGAGTTCACTGTATATTCAAGAGGAGTGGTCGACCTTAAAATTAATATGTACTAATTATATCTTCCTATTTGCTATGATTTGGGAGTTTCCCTTAAATTCTTAAAGGTGAATTTGTATTCTGATATGATATATTATTACAGTTACCATACTAGAGGGCTGAATTGTTGCGCTTATGGCTATATTGCAATAGGTTCCAGTCATGGTCAAGGACGACGCCTATAATTTTCAATGATGATCAGATGATATTTCGGGAATGAAATGGACCGAAAACTTTATTTTTTGTGTTGTTATGTAGTCGCTCGGGACGCCACAATTATAAGCTGAACGTCACAAATTTTCCATGGGGAAGGCGATTTGACCAACTAATTGGAATGGAGATCATGATAATGAACCGTCAATACTTAGCGAATCAAATGAACAAAAACTTTTTTGTGTAAAATAACAAAATTTGAATCTTATGGAGTAATTTCTTACTTCAGAAAAAAAACTGAGTCGGAAAAGATGTCACAGATGAGCTGTTGGCCTCGAATCGATCAACAGAGTGCAAATATAGCGAAATATTACCCAGACTCTGAATATATATCCTCAGCTCAGTGGTATTTATGTAGGATATCTTAAGTTCGTCCCCGTCCGATTATACTGCTCCACCGACTGGTTTTATCATTGTGTAGAAGATATTCTTACCAAATATTATCAATATTGAAGCTTCCCTATAACAGTACCCGCACTTATTTAGGTTTTGGCAGGCTTTCAACCGAATTGGTTGTAGTTTGATATTCTGGGTTCCCATTGAGCGATAATCTTCCTATCGAAAATTAACAATATCAGCCAACGATTTGGTACAGACTCCAAAAAACTTCCAATTACCAATATAGGTCCATGATCTGGTTAGTCCCTATACAACGGTACCCCTCTAATTGTCGTTAATTGAAACAGCCCTTAAAGATTCTTGTAGAAACCTCAGAGTTTGCAAAATTCATGACTCCGATAGAAAAACCCTACATTTTTAATATAATCCCATTCGAAAAATATACGTCAAATGCGACTCAATTTTCTAATCTAAGTGTATGTAGGGTGGTATTTAGATTCCTCCTGTCATTAATTTACCATGAAACATCTTTCAAAGAAATATTCTAATTGATTTTAGGTATTTTTAATGCCAGAAATGGTGGAGGGTATACTAATTTCGGTCCAACCGAACTAACGGCGCTTTATTTTTTTATTTTAGTATTTGTATTAATATCACTATGGAATGAAAGGGAGGTATCGCCACCGTCCTATTCCGATCTGTACCGTCCTATCCCTTTCTCAATAAAATTTGTTTCAACGCGGTATTTCTATTTCCCAATAATGAAAGGAACTGCTTTACTCAATATAAAATGATTTTTTTTATGTCAAACTGATTTCCCATCCTCAAAAAAGGGATAAGCGTTCAAATCCGTTTTTTTTTCAACAGAAGTTGGTTCTAAAAGATTAGAAAAGTTCTTTGCTAGGTTATTAAAAGTGGAAAAGATCATTGCAAACAAATTGTCAATATAAGTCGACTTTTATGCATCCTATTTAAAATCCATAAAACCTTTCCACCCTGGAAAATGAATAATATGTATTTTAAATATTGAGTTGTATGGCCTCTTTACAATGGTGCAAACTCCTTGATTTAGTAGTGTACCCAAATTTTGGAATTTCAGATTGTAATTTTGTAGTACGAATTTCATAAAATTTGCTCTTCTTAGTTACTATATCATTTTCACTTTATATACCAGTATATATCAACCGACTGCTTTAAAAACATTTGCTGTTTATTGATCTTTTCTTTCTTAAAACTAAATAAATAAATAAAACAGAACTTTATTTTAACTTAACAACTAAACACACACTATTTTAGGGACTTAGCAAGTAAGTTATTCCAATTGACTTTGGTTATTTTTTTTCTTTCTTTTTTTGCATGGAATTAATATAAATGACTGTAAAGATTTTTGCAAATTTTTGCTAAAAGAAACACATCCACATTTTATACTGTCTTTTTCGAATCCTTATATGGTTTCCAAGCACTGTAGGCTAAATCGAAGTCACGGCCCCATCCGGAGTGACCACCGGATGAAACTACGACTTCATGTGAGGATTCTTTGCCACCACCGCTAAGCAATTTCTTGATGCCAATAATCGAAGCCAAAACTAAAGCTAATTTTGAAACAATTAAAGCTTTACCAGCAAGCATAGCCAAGGCACCATAGGCAATGGGGACGAATGTGCCACCCAATAGCAATGGAATCATTATGTAGGCGCCGCCACCCTTTTTATCCTTTTTCTTACGACTTTCGACAGTGTTGCCCAAAATGGAGTCGTCAGGTCGGACATCGGGGAATCTTATCTAGGGATGGAAATTTTATATGAAAATAATGTTATTTTTTAGTTCGTTTGTCTTGCCTGTAACGTATGGCGCTGCAGAAAACCGGCAATATTTTTAACAATCAAATTCGTTAAAACCTGCTCCTTGGCATCCAAAGCTCTTGGTAAATTTGCCTCCAGTTCAGCTTCAGTGAGTATCGGTTTAGTCGGCTCCTCTGAATCGTCGGCCTTTACAAATTGTATACCTTCCATTATTTTCAATTTCTTAGCTGAACGTTGAACTTTCTCCAGACCGGTTAGCAGTTTAACTTTGAGGCAGACGGATAGATTTTCAGCCGCACATTGCTGATACAGCCGATAAACCATTGAAAGATCCTTCCAGACATTTGCTGTATTTGATGTACCGCTCGTCGATGTTGCTGCCTGCGATTGACCCTCCGGGTCGTCAGCAATGCTGTTTGCATGTTGTGTTGTGTGTGAAGATGAGCTGGAAGCACTACGTGCCACAACCGGTGTCTGAAGCCAACAGAAAATTATTGTTACGACTGCCACATGCCAGATGTATTTAAGCATGTTGTTGCACTGTTATTGATTTTATGTATTTATGGTGATAATGTTTGTAGGTCTTTTTTTCACGGGTAATTCAAATGATCCTTAAGGGGATCATTTAAGGCAAACAAAATTATTCAATTTCTAAACCGTAGTACGTTTATCCTTTTTTCCACTTTACACACAATAATCCGTTTTAAAAGCTGAACTGAATTGTCTAGGCTTTTCTTTGGTTACAACGTGACGTATTCTTATGAACTGATCTGTTAATTTAGTAGCTCATGTTTTTTATACTGCCTTTAGGAAACCACTAAGTTTTTCTTTTCATTTTCATCAAATTTATGTTTTTTTTTTTCTGAAAAGTTTTAATTGTAGTTTGTCGGCGTTGGTGTAGTTGTAAATTGATCATAATCACCTTCTTTTGTGTGATGGCGTTTATCTTATGTTTCTCTGTTAGTTTGTTTTGTAAAAATCTGTGGAAAAATTTTTTCATTAAAATCAAATATAAAGTAAAAAACAAATAAAGAACAACAAAAACATATTAAATAAATTAACAATTTTCTTTTGATAGGTTTAAAAACTAAGCAACACATTAAACATTTGTTGTAGTCTAAATCATTTAGCATGCAATCAACACTTAAAGAAATTGACTGGAATATAAAAAGGAACTACGTCATAGACATTTTTTAATCATGAAATAAATATTGAAATTGTCAAGAATTGTATTTAAAAAAAAACTTCATCTCAATCGATATGGGACTTTAGTGAACTATTATGAATTCGTGTCCTTGGACCATTCAGACAGTTTAGTCGATCTTCCACTCGTTCGATTTGACTGACTAAAACATATCACATCAAAAACCTGTAATAGGCGCAAACAAAGTGAAGGAGTTACCAGCAAAAGTCAGAATCCTCGTTCGGTATTAAAGGACTCCGATTATTCCTTTCCGATTTTAATTGCTAACCTTGTGCCATTTAAAGTTATCCTGCGGATAGCGCTGTCGAATGCTGCAATCTGGTCAATGTTGGATTTGCTAGGTCTGAAGCCACATTAGTATGGTCCACTAATGACATTGACCATTGCCTTCAGTCGTTACACAGCACGCTGAATAGCACATTATTTGCGATGGAAGGAAGACCTATTTCTCTAAAGTTGCACATATCATCTTGTCTCCTTTTTTTGTGTATGGGACACAGGATGCTAAGGTTCCCATCATTGGGCATGCATTCCTATAGCCAAAATGTACTAATCAGCTGGTCAATGCTCCTGACCTGCTGCTTTATTATTCTTCAGCCGATTGATTTCTATTCTGGCAAGATTTTGGGTAGGTGGTATACACTCTATACTGTCATCTCTTATTGGTTCTGGGGAGTCTGGGAGTGTTAGATCGCATTTTTGCTGCTACATTAACAACAGTATGAACCTTGGCTGCTACAAGGTAGTGGACCGAATGGATATTCGCTCCCCGGATCGATCGAACGTTTAAAACACTGGATGAATGCCTTCCGTCTATCATAAAATGATCAAATTGATATATATATATATATATATATGTATATCGGGATGCTTGCTTGATCTTGTGCTCTTAACTACCATGTTTTTTGGTGCCGCGAAGTCAATCAACCTCATGACACTGTCTGATGTTTCTTCATAGCCAAACTCATGTCTCATTTCATGGCAGCTATAATAAAATGCGTAACGGACTGATTTACTTACGCCTGCTCCTTTCCATCACATTTCTTGGTAGGTAATAATGCCGGCTTTGTACTTTTTGAGTACATCTACCAAAGCGAAACATTCCAAGTGCAGATTCGCAGATCGTGGTCCTTTATACGTTTGCGGGGGTCGTCAACATTAGGGGGTTTGGCTTTCTTTTTCTGCTTTTTCATAATAAGAGGAGTTTTCCGAGAGTGGGCAACTAACCCGACGCCTTAACCCATTTCAACGAATGATGAAAATAGTTACCCCAGGTGACACCGCGGCGAGGTCAGTGTCCACAATTGAGATGAAAGTTTAAGAAGCCCTCTTGCCGTCACTTGATGCACAATAAATCGGCTATATCTTAAAAAATTTTTGAGATTTTCAAATTTATTGGGACATTCTTGAATTAGTGTAGGTTCGAATTAAATCAAAATAGCCCTTAAAACAACTGAAAAGCCTAATATACCTAATAGGTCACCATCGCAAAACACATAACAAAATAAAATAAATAACTAAATAAACAAAGGCCATTTTATCCTTAAATTTATTACCCTTATATTTATTGACTACAGATATATTTAGATATTGTTTAGTATCACTTTCATTGTGCTAAGGCTTGGGTGTTAGCATTACAGAAACTGTAACTTCAGTGATGTATATGAGACCGTTGGCTTCATCCGACTATACCGTTTTATATATTTTATATATATTTTTTCAGTGTAGTTTATTTTTTCCATCAAATTTCAACAGATTGTTGGAATACACTAAAAATAACATCTACACAAACCTATTTACCCACAAAATGCCCAACCAAACAAAATTTTTTCTCAAAATTAACAAGCTGTGGTGTATCTACCCCCACTTTTAAGTTGCTAAAAACGATGTAAAGATGTGCTGCTGCTGCTCATAATGATCTGTTCAATAATTATGCACTTTTTCTTTATTTGTTCCAAGCTGATGCACTTTCATGTCTGGTGCCAATGTAAGCAGCCTACAATGCTAAAGAAGACATAGCCAACCAACTTCCACAATAACAACAAAAGCCGCATCAGCACAACTCTAAACGTTCGTTTACGCCTTGCGTGTTTACCAAATGTTTGGTTCATTATTGTTTTTAATCAGATCATCATCACAAATGAAAATCTCTCTCTGGAGAAAAAAACAGAAACTTATAATGAAAAAAAAGAAGAAATTCTGATGAAGGCCTTCAATAAATAATGAAAAGTTTGTTCTAGTTTTCTGTTAAAATGAAAAAGCAAAAAAAAAAAAAAAATAATAAAATAAAATAAATAATATACGAAAAAATTCTAGTTTCGGAAAAAGTTTTTTCTCAATGTGTTTTCTCACACAGAAACGAATTGGGGTGTTACAAGTTTGTGAATGGTTTTTTTTTTTGTTTGTAAATTCTTAGGAGAAACTTTTACATATTAAGTGAAAAAATCAGAGATGTCTTTTTATTTCCCATGCTATTTTAGGGACATATGAAGGGAAAATAATTGATTCTTTGACAAATCAAAATTCATAAGTGAATTCAACTGAAGCATTTTACAAAGATGCTCCATCATTCCACGAAATTATGCACATACAAATCAAAATTGTGTAGAGAGGCCTAAAGATGTCATTAAGTCGATCCACCCTTAACGAGGACATTCAAATATGCCCATGATACCGAATATAGGTGGTGTCATTACGTGGATCGATATATCTCATAAATACCTATTATCCTAGGATTCCTAGTATGTAAAAAGTTTACAAGAGATGTTCCTAAAATTTGTATTGTTAAAGAAGTAGCATGTTTGAAATCAGGTCATATTAAAGTTGCGATCCGTGTATATTGGTTCGCCGACTTCGAAAACTCAATGCATATGTCATTCGACTATCAATGCTAAATTTCATCTTAATTGAGAAGACATGGGATGTAAATCTGGACTAATTAAAGCAAACAAGATACATCCAAATCTATAATAAAAATGATTTCAACACAAACTAATACACACAGTCCTAGGCTCAATTTGGAACGTTGTGCAAAACTGCATCGCATTCAGAGCAACTTTAAGTATTTGGCGAACAATATTGATCAAATCGGGAGGTATATATAAATTTAAAACCAGTGAGCGGAGCAGTATAGTCGGACGGGCCGAGCATATCTAAATCTAACATTTTGTGGTTCTATATTCTGAGCATGGCCAATATTTCGCGATATTTGCACCCTCTTGACCGACTAGAGGTCAACAAATATTACTAATATTCAGTACAGCTCTTCTAATTACTTGTCCAGATTCCCTTCAACGTAGTTTGGGTTGTGATGTTCGGACTTCAATTGTGGCCTATAGACCGACTCGAAAAAAACACAAGAAGTTAAGTTTTCGGTCCACTCCATCCCAATATTATTATCTCATTGTCATCGAAAATTATAGACGTTTTCTTTGACCACAACTGGTACCTCATGGAATATTTCAGCGCTACAATTTCGCCCTCTGGTGTGAAAATAGGTTACTAAATAATATCTGAATACAGAAGTACCTGTAAATATTTAAGTGTATCTCCCACTTCCATCATATCAATTTAAAGGTCAACCTTTATATCAACTATATACTCCATGGAATAAATATTGACCGATCTTTATCAAATCATGCATGATTTTTTCTTTGGCCCCATCTCTTCTTCATGTAAAAAATCGTGATGTTTGGGTAATAATTGCGGCCTCTGGAGCGACCAGAAAATCTGGCAAAAACAAACTTTTTGGTCCATTTCATTCCCTAAATATTAACCGATCTTTACAAAAAACAATAGGGATCTTCATTGGCCAGAATCCATCCTACATGCAAAATTTCGTGAAGATTGGTCCATAACTGTGGCCTGTATCGTGTTTACAAATTATAATGGACAGACGGACGGACGGACACACATGTCTAGATCGACTCAGCTAGCCGAGATATGACGATCGGTATACTTAAATGTGGGTCTAGGACCAATATTTCGCGGCGTTACAAACTCTTGGGGCTGCACAAAGCTATAATATCCTGACAACATAGTTGTGTAGGGTATATATAGAACCAGATGTCATTCTAGAACAATGTATGTACTATATCCAAAATTTTGTGCTCCATTTATATCAAATCGGACAAAACTATATATATATATATATATAGAACTGATTACAACAAAACTTCACAGACATAAATCTGTACTTAATTCAGTACGCTGTGCTATATTTTGTCGTAATCGGAAAAACTTTGGGAGTTTGGTGCACCATTAGATCCCAGATGGACTGTACCGATGATTCCCATATTCCTACATTATATAGGATTGGTTAAAATAT